GATCATTGTGTACGATCAGGGGATTTAAGATTCTGTACCAAATAGCATTATTATCGAATAGATAACGATAACACCATTGTTTTTCCCAATGCTATTTGAATTTATGTGATAATTTCAATATTCCATCGTTGATATAACCCAACTCCAAGTATTGCTTAACTTTCTCTTTGACTGCCATTTCTATGATTATCTGAGTGTAGATGTTCTGAATCAATGGAGATCTGCTGGTGTTGATGAATACGAAATGCTTGAATTAGTTGTATTTTTCGATTAACTGTTCCTGTGAAGTACCCAACAAATAGAAGTTGCTGATGTGTTTCAACTGACAATTGTTCTTCTTATCAAACATGTAATTGTATTCGTTCAATTGCTTAATGAAGATACGACATTAACTGGATACATTGATATCTTCCACTATGAAATGCTTAATTTATCCAAATGGGGGTGACAAGTACAATTACTTATCCTTCCTGTATGTCATCAGCTTCTTATCTATAAATTCCTGCAATTCAATTGATTTGGTTCGACTACTAAAGTACAAGCAACATGATGATTTCAACTTGGCCAAGATGCTCTTATTGCATGTGATGTCACCATAGAATAGAATGTGACTCTGCAACTCTTGAATGGCATACAGTTCTTACTGATTAAAGTAATATTGCAAAGTTGTGTTATTATACGAAGACTTTTGGTTGAACAATTGATCCAATTTTCTTTCTTGTATCACCATTAAAATCTAATCGACAACACGAGACTTGTTCTCCTGATCCAAAATCAAACAGAATAATGTGTAAGTCGCATAGGTGCTTATGTTTTCAACATCCAGTTGTGTAAACTTGCTGTATTGTTGTTCGTTGTAGTAAATGCTTAAGACTTTGGCAGAACAACGCAACACGTATTATAATGAATACGGGAAGTTTAACAATAGTTGGTAATACTACTCGATTTGATGAATCAAATTACGAGCCAATAAGGTTTGTAATTCTATATTATTGATGTACTTCAATTCTTGAACAAGAAATTGCTGATTGGAAATGTTATTATTGTAGTAGAAGAGTGTGAAATTGGTCAAAGAAGCAGGGTCTTGTTTTGATATATCATTGCTTTCAAAGATTGCATTCCTATTAGAGTACACTAGACTATTAAACAATACAAAGTTCTCCAAATTAAAATAGATTTGCTTTTATCTGAAATTGATCATAAAATGATAAAATCTGAAGGATTGAGAATTTTATAAAATACTGAACAAATCTTCATCATCATAAGCATCTAATTCAAGAGAGAGAATGCTGTTTTGTTTTGTGGATTACAACAGAGTATTATCATTTTAATTAGTGTTCTCCTATTCAAATTTAAATTGAAACAGTTCTTAAATTAATTTGCTCTTACCATTGTTGGGTTGACCATACATTAGAATGAGATTGTTTTCATTGAGCAAAGAATTCAATTTTTCCATTTCATATCGATTCTCTTCCCTGTTTGGAAAGTATTCATTCACTATTGAATTAAATAGCTATTTGTCTGCATTGTTCAAGTGATGCTGCAACACATCCAAGAGATCATTCAATTTGATGGTCCTCAAGGTCTTGACTACTTGATTAAAGCAGTTGAATCTAGCAAGATTAAACAAATCAGCACCTAAGACACTGTTTAATGTTTGTATCAATTTCATCAATATTTCAACAACTTCCTAATTGTATATCATTTGAATGAGTGCCTACCATAAAATCATGATATCAGGTTGGTAGACATGAATGTTCTTAAATGATAGGATGGGATGATGGACATCTGATATCAGAGTGAGAAAATGCTTGTTTTATAATTTCACTTGTCTCCCTTCCTAATCCATTATCTAAAGTTATTACCATAGAGCACTGCAAATTTAATTGAATATTGTTTGCAGGATCAGCCTATCATCTTATAGAAGATATTAGTATCCCGTGATGATGAACAAGGAATTCGATTGTATTGATCCATATATGCATTGCAATAAATAGGTGAAATCATAATCCCCACTTGTAATCTACACCTACTTGTAATAGCGTCCCAGCATTTGTGAATATTGGGTGATAATGTAATACTTACTGTAATGGCCAATCAAATGGGGTAATCGATTGATTTAGAAGGCTTGATTCATAAGCAAAATACACTATTCAGACTACTTCCATGAATGATAATTGAATTCATCCCCAAAGAACTCAAATTAGTATTGAATTTTGTTATTCAAGAAATTAACTAATATGTTTTCATCATCATAGTAATATTTCATCTATTTCAAATAGAAGTAATCTTTATCACTATTGATTTTGAATTGATTTAACTCCTATATTAGATTTTTTTGATTATTCATTATCATAATGATTGCAATCTATCGCAATTATTGTTTAACTGACTATTTCTCAGAATGCAATAGTTTGATCTGCTCGTGTATTTCATATTATTTGAATTCCGCTAATTCATTCCAATCCTTCTCATCATTTTACAGAATATCATCCAACATCATTGTATAAGTAATAGTCATACAAATATATATAATCTAAATGGGATACTACACAATCTGCTGATAGTTATCAGCATGCTTTAATGCATTCTTGATGATTTGTCTCAATCCTTACTTCATGCCTTCCTCCACAGTTTTGAACCAATCTTCAATCTCGCCCTTCATTGGACAATACTTAACTGCTATTTAGTCATTTTCTTTGGAATAGAGAGATGTGACTGCCTCCTTGTTTTGGTCATAATCAAATTAATGGATATTTTGGAAAAACAGACTTAGATATTGTTACATGGCTGCAGGGTGTTTGACTTCAGAAACAACCTTGTTAAATTGGGAATTGGTAAGGAAATTGAATCTTGGAAACAAATACTTCTTCTTATCGAATTGTTCATTCAATTATTGAATGATACTCTTACAATTCTGATTGTCTTGTTGAATCTGTTTCAAGAACTTCTTCTCATACTCATCCTTAATCCAGACTTCCAAACTCTTCTATTGCTAGATGAATCTTATCAATTGCTTCCACTACTTTTCCTAATGCTAATACATCTTCATCTCCTTACTCTGGTTCTTCTGATTGATCTGAGTTGATAACACATTAGTTAAATAGTATTGAGTATCTTACAGGAGAGTCAACTAATTGATGTACTCCTACAGATACACGATGTTCTTCAATTGCATATCAATTCTATTTCTTAGATCATCGATATTAGGTTGACCCAGAATGTTATTGATAATCAGAATGTTCTCATCCAATTATTCATTCAAATAACTTAAATTAATGATTGAGTATTGATCCTTCGTTCCTTTAATCTTCTGAATGAGCAACTTATGATTCTTCCAGAACTCCTCTAATTTAAGAAGCGAGTTCATCGTTTGATTCTCATATTAAATGATGATCAATAGTTACTACAAATTATCTTGTTGTTCATTGATGTCTGACTGATACAAATATTATGTAGTGAATACTGGATGCTATGGATTGTTACAAATTTACAATATCAATTATAACAAGTTCTTATCCTATTACTTATCCTTCTTGCACACTTAAGCCACGATATTGTGATCATAATCTTTAATCTGCAATATGATCTCTATCACATTATAGAGTTTCAATTCATTCATCAATTGAGTCTTGATCTAGACTAATTAACCCTACCCAAATATCTTGCAATCCTCAATCTAATGCAGTAATTTCTAATATGTAGTCTTAATGATAGACAGATTCAGATCCAAAAAGTGTTCTCTCATCCATTCCTACTGAAAGTTCTTGATCTTATGAATTTCTATTTACAATTACTTAAATTAGACATATTTATTCTTTATCTCGTGCAACTGTTCATTATGATATTGTTCGATTTACAAGGAATATGAATACTACTTCAAATCCTCATATTCTAATTCCAAAGTAATCAATTAGCCTTGCAATTGTGAAATTGAATTGATGTCATCTATGTCCTTGTTGTTTTCGAATTACTCACAAAACTATAACACTTTCTGATGAAAAAAAGGAGTCAACCTTCTGAACTCCTTCTCGAACTTATCTTACACCAATCCATATTGATTTTGCAAATCGTAAAACTTATATTAGAATAATTAATATTAACTAACTATCTTGTCCCAAATATCCTTAATGGGAATTGTCTGCTCCTCGTTATTATAAATTCTGTTGTAAACATGCAACTCTTCTATTTATTAATCAATGGCCTCGTAATGAGATTTAATCAACAAGTAATTCTCCTGATGTATCACGTATTGTTTCAGAGTCACTGGTTTCAATTTCAACTTCTCCAACCAATCTTGAATTTTCTCCTAGATTATCTTACACTTCCCTCTAAGTTCCAAATCCACCTTCTGATTAATCACCTAAATCTTATTCTTAAAGAAGGTCTGCGTCTGCAATTTAAACAGCTGGATGTTCAATCTCAAAAACCCAATGTCCACAATGTTCTCTATGATCTCTATCTCAGATTGCATTTCAGAAATTAATTAGAATTACTGCCTCAACACTTCTGCATTCAACAACTGATCCTCACTCTTTGCAAATTCATCCAATAACACCTAAATCTTCAACATATAGTGTTCTATCTGCTTATAACTAAATTGCAACTCTTCTCCCAATTCCTAAATATAATCATAAGATTTCAAATTTATCCGTCCATACTCCCTCAAATCTTATCTCAGATCTGTTGAGCTCGAACCCACTCCATAAGTCTGTAATTCCTATTGCTTCCTCGTTGATGAAATGCTCTGTTCTATTATGTCTATAGCCTTTTCCATTGTTTAAACAAATATATCCTACATACCTCTCAACGATGGCTCAAACACTATGGCTCCCTCTTACAAATGGATCTCTACAACTACCCAACTAAACTAGGTTGTTCTATTGAATAAGAGTATTAATTACCCAACTTTGAGATGTTTATTGGCATTCTTAATTACCTTTAAGAAATTAACAATAGAATTGTACATCAATATTATCATGCTCTCAAGTTGAATGTAATCAATCATCCTCGTGAATTTGATTAGCTTCTACTGAAATTACCTCAGATTTGATTCCATTGTGAATTGCATTGACTGTGTAGAATTATCCTATTTATAAGAAGGGCATTAATACACCAATAATAAGAGGCTTTTGCTCCATTTGAGAATTCCGTATCAACTCCAAATTCTACCTGTAACCTTGGTCTTCTTTAAAAATACTAAAGGAATATTGACATGCATCCACAACTATTTTCAATATCAAATTGATGTTCTTAGCCAGTTCTTTTTAGAAATCATTTAGAGATCTTTACAATTTTTGAATGAACTTCGCCTGATTCACAGGACTCATTTGAGTAGGCACAAAAAACACCAAACCCTTTATCCTTTGAGTGTACTTGTGAATTTCCTCAATGGGTCTCTTGAGGGAGGGATCTAAGAGTAAATAACAAGTAGTCAGTTCCTTAGATATTGATTGAGCTTTATTCTTGATACTTAACTTCTTCCACCTAGTGAATGTTTTTTGTTGCAGATAATTTCGAAAGAACTCTATCTTTTGTAATCTGTGAAACAATTTTCGATCTTTTTCAAATTGCTTAATGGACACAAACTCCTCAAAATTGCTGTGGTGTATTATGATTCCCCTTCCACTTATGGTCATATAATAATCTAAGTTTCTATCATCATAATTGACAACCTTCCATTCGTAAGGATTGCCATAATTGTTTAAATAACAAAATTCCTATCCTAAATTTTAATCCATCTGCAACAAACGAACAAAATCATTAGGCCCCAAGAATCCCATTGAATATTCTCTAAAACTTTCAGATTTCCCTCTTTGACGAAGTGGCGTTATCTGACTCAATTAACTCAATTAAGGTTAAACTATTTGCGGCAATTAAAAGCGCTATGGACTAAATGCTTTTATATAGCGTTTTCGGTTAGTTTCAATGAATTGCGATTGCTCGTTTTTTGTAGACATTATTTTCGGAACAAGGGGAGTATCGGTAGTTGTTCTGATCTTCAATTTCTTCCTTAAATACTATTAATTCATTATAAATTTAAGAAATAAATTAAATTGCTTTTTTTACAAAATTTCAATTTGAGTAATAAATATAGATATCAAATGAAGCAGAGTACTATGGTCATTACTAGAATGTAGAATTAGCAACCATAGAAATATCTAATGCTAAATAAATGTTATACTCTTAACAGTGTTTGCTGTACTTCGAAGCGATAACTAAACTAACCCAGTTAGCAACTTGCAGAACCTATCTCCCCAAACTCTTGTCTAACAGATTTATGGCTAAAACAGTCATCAAGGGAAGACCAACTAATGCCAACCAAATGAGGAGATCTCTAATCTCACATTTCAATTCCAATTAATGTGCTATCAACTTTTTATATTGCAATATTTATCTCTACAAAATAAAATAAATTAAGATTATTTAAGGCAAATTCCAGTTATCAAATATTATAAAATTTAGATTTAAAATAATTATTAAAATTACTGCTTTTATTATTTTTTACCATGTAATTTTCTGCTCCTTTTTCTTCTCATCATACCCAAAATCATCTAATTGAATTGCTCCTCTTAATGTATCATCCACATACTAATTGTACTCTGCTTAACTCTCATATAAGATTTACATCCTGGGCTAATTCGTTTTTTCAACAGTGGACAGCAACTTAGTAAGTGGCCTATCACTTTGAAATATGCATTCCACTTCCCTTCCCAACTAATCATATGCAACTGACTTAAGAGTTTTAAGGATCCCAAATTTGATCTCTCCGAAGTCATCCTAAAATTTGATCACATTCAAATTTGCTATTAAAGATTATACATCTAAATTTATTACGCTAAATCTAAGCAACACTCTATTGACGAGTTATCAAAACACTAGGCCCAGTATTTTTGAATTGTATCGATGGCCTCTTGTTATCGCCCAAATAATTCAAACCCTACTCCTATTTAGCATTTTATTAATCATTTTTTTCTCCAGAAAAGTTACTCTACAATCTATTATTATCATTTGCAGGAGGGTTCTAACTCTTATTGATGCTCGAGTTGCTCTCATGAATCGAAGGAATTACAGGCAGTTGCTAAGGCAATTCTATCTCCTAATCCACCTTATTATTCCTCTCCGAAAGTTCCGTATTTATCACCTAGATCTGAGGCACTACAGTCTTCTCCTTCTTCAACTCCTTAAAAGAAAATAAAATCATAAGAATGCCAGAAATTGCTATTAAAACATCTAATTTTCGATTATGTATAATTACAATTTGATTCTCCTATTTGCTTTATTTCCAATAAAAATATACTAAGGTTAGATAGAGAAAATAGCAATTTAATAATCTTTATATTACCTTCCCACTCTTTGAAAATAAACAGAGCAATCACAGACCCAAATAATAAGGCAGCTTCTACAATCAATAGCTAAGTATTCATCACTTTAAATAATTATTAATGAGAATGAAAATAATTAAAATCTGAAATCCAAGAGAAGAACTTCATAAATCTTTTTAATTAATCAAATCATGAATAAATATGTGATAAAATTTATATAAAATTCAATTATGTTGTTATTTCATTTAATCAATACAAATATGTAATTTATATATATAAATAATGAATATATATTTAAAATCCCCTTATTAAATACTCCTCCTGTAAATATTATTATCCTATTTTGCTGAAAAGTTAATTGATGTGGTAGCCATCATTTTACCCTTTCAATATTCACTGCGATTATTAAGGACCCATAATGATCAAAAGAAATAATTAAAACCAGATAAATATTTATCAAATATCCAATAATGGATTACTTTTCTTTTGATTTATTACATCAATGAATACTACTCAAACCACATAATTAAATATGCAATTTGGTTTATTTTTTATTAAAAAAAGGTGTTGAAATATTGGCAATCAAATTTCCTAAAGTATTAAAATAAACTCACAAAAATTGATTGATTTATACATATTCTAATATTTATGTACTTTTTATTTATTTGAAACAATTATCTAATGGTATTATCTTAACATAAAGTCATAAATTAATTAAAATCTTTATCTCACTTATTCTTAATACTTTAATCTTTAATTGGTAGATGTATATTATAGAATTTGAAATAATTAAGCATGAAAATGATAAGAATTATAGATATATTATAATTAATATTAATTTATATGTAAGGTATTGACTATGATGTGATCGAATATTTCCAATATGAAAATTCTGGATAGCTCTTTTGGGAACATAATTTAAACCAAATAGGCACTATGGAATATATACCTAATGAAAAATGGATTAAATACACAATAAATTTGAGGAATTGTTTTCGCTTAAGGGATTTAATGTTTTGGATTGTAATTATATACTATATTCTAATCAGTAAAAAGGACTGGTACTAATGTCAATAGAATAGATCTTGAGATTATGCAGCCATTTGCTTACTAAAGTTGCCGAGTTAAAATAAAATGAATTAAATCATTTTTATTTAACATCTGATAGAATATGGTTAATACTTCGATAAAAAAGCCAACTACTCACTATTACTTTTGTTGACATTTAATATGATATTGCATTTACAGGGTTTCAGTGCCCAATTTTTCAATCTGAATCATAAAAGTAGGATGCTTCTATTTCTATTTTAACTATAATCAATTAATTAATTCAACACTTTTAGACTTCTTTGAAAGTATCAAAAGAAACTTAATAATTTTATAGCCATATTTTTAAATCTTTGGGTTAGCATAAAGATTTTGTCTAAGCAAGGTCTGAGATTGACGAATTATTAAAATATTATTCAAGATTTCCAAATTATGACACTTATTGTTAGGAATTTTCATAACAATATAATTAAAGAGGAATACATGCATGTGACGTAGGAAATTATTTATTTGAAATTGTATCTCTTTCTGATCCATACGAGTGTTTTATTAAGGAAGATTGTATTTTTGGAATGATCTCACTAATTGGCATCAGCATAAGGGAGAATCATTTAAAAGCATTAAAGGATCAACGACATTAGATATTGCTATAAGACTAAAAAAAATATTGGGAAGAATTTATAAGAATATCATTGTAAAATAATATACTTAATTAAATACGAGAAATATTTGAATAACTTTCATAGTATGCTAAACTTGAAATCTCAAAAGAAGATGAACAAATGATGATCGATCAAATTCTTTCAGAAATAAAAAATACTTGTATCTTAAAATATTTTTTTAATTCTTATTGGGTTAGACATGCTGAAAAGTATAAAGAGTAGTTTATAAAAAATCTTTTTCCGATATAGAAATAGATTACGAATTTGAGAGTGAAGTTATGGATTTAAGAAATGAGTTTACAATTTGTAAATTAATTGATTTGATTTTTTAGAAAAACCATATTATTTGAATGAACTAATTAATTAATTTTATACTATAGATTGACAATTATTGACTTCTAAATCAAAATGAATATAAATATTCTCTTCCTTGGATTTATATTATTATATTTTATGATATACACTCCACTACTCGTGGGATCTCAAATACAATAATTTAACACATGAATATCTGCCTTAATAAACACTCAAGATTAAGGTAATTATTAGTTAAGTTAGGATTAGTTTCAATAGTTGTCTCTATTCAGAAATAAATAAAATTTTTTTAGTTGTATTAATATCAGATTCACAGTAAGATCAAGCCTTAGTATTGAATATTTAATTAATTATAATTTAATTTATGTATAGAATTGACAACTTAAATTTAGAGAATTTTGAGAAGATTGTGATCTAATTTCCTAGTAATTAATTACAGGAAGCTTAAACTGTATGGCGATAACTAAGCCAAAAATACCCAAATAAGTAATTCATCATTTCTGCTGATCCCTTACATTCATCCTGTTGTGTGAATGTAATTGGAGCACGTCACATCAAGCATGATCTGATAATACATTTTGGAGAAACATGCTTCTCAGAGGCTCACTAAGAAAATATCATGTATGTGTTGCCCTATTTTGAATATGATTCAGCTGAATTAATTAAATCTATAGATTCGATTGAATAATCATCTTGGGTATTATTCGATTAAAAGTATGATCATATTTTGATTGGTGAAAGCAAACACATATTTCTCTCATTCTAAGGGAAATTGAATCAATAACAAACTCAACATATCGCTTGTGGTTATCATGCAGCTGAGTTAAGAAAATAACTCATATTTATAGGATCTGAAGACAGTGAATTGCTATAAAGATTTATTTTACATTTCGAATATGGAAAGATTGAAAAATGTTATATCATAGATCCTACCACTTGTTAACTTTAAATATTGTAAATCAATTAGATGCCTTTAATTATAAAAAGAACTAAACAAGTTGAAGAGGCATCTGAATGCAAATGTTTTGGCATTCTAATTAATAATTCTACCGCTAAGTATACTAAAAATGCATACAAGGCATGCAAATAGATCTTAAAAAATAATTAGAAAAAATACTTTACATTTTCAATGAACAGTCTCAATGAAGCTAAGTTAGGAAACTTTCCTGAAATCGAAGCCTATATTATCATAAGTTGTTACAGAAATTCAATTATTGATACCAAAAAGTATTACAAATTGATCATCACTCCCTTTCAATTGCTTTAAGCATTTTCAGATGTTAAATACATAGTCGAAAGTGATTTAAGTTTACTTGCATAAGAGTAACAGCTAGAAGGGAATCAAGAAGTTTAGAATGAATAGATAAATAAATAAGAAGAGTCTACTGCTCTGTTAGCTTAAAATAATGAAAATTAATTGATTGCGTTAGACAAAATATTTTAAACCTTAGACTTCTACAAGAATAGACAATATTAAGGATTATAAATTAGAGAAAATCTTGAACCTGCTCAATTAGAAATAGGATTAACTGGGATAGCAAGTTGTTATGAAAAAGAAGGGAATAAATGATGTTTTTAGTGGAATATATATATCTATATATCACTTAAATATAATATCTAATTTGGTTGGCATTAGATAATATGTGATGTTATGTTGTATTTCTCCCCAAGGAATATATGAAAAGAACTATAATGTTAATGTTTAGCTGTTTATTTAAAATTAGCAATTTCCTTATCAAATTAAATAACACTACATATAACTCATCATAATTGATTTTTGGATTTGAACAATTGATTTCAATTTTATTAAATGCCATACATCCTTTCTATATACAAGGATTTTCTTTTTATTTTATATTAATTATTTTCAAAGCATCGGATTCATTTTCAATTTAGAAGTGAAATTTTTCAGAAAGAATGAAAATTAGTAGTCACTATTTATAATTAAGGAACTTTTGCAATTAGATTTTTCTATAGGGAATGAAATTTAATCTATTTGAGTAGTTCGAAATTTCAGTCTTCCTGATTCTTAAAGTTTCATCATACCTTTTAATTGTGGTCTCTTAACTCATCTGTCTTCTTAAGTTTAAACTACTATTTTCTCTTAATTTTTCATCACAATGTATTTAATTGGTTTATATAGATAATTAACATACTTTGTAAATCTATTTAAGTTTTGAGTTTAATCCTAAACCAAGTATCTCTCAATTATTTCATCATGATTTTATTCATCTTCATCTAAGTTCTCACCAATCAGAAAATTCACATTACTCTTATCATATATCATATTTCTGAGAGTAAATTAAATTTTTTGTTCCATACTCTTAAGTAGTAATTATTCTTCAACCCTTTATTGGCGATATGTCCATTATTAAAAAAATGAAACTTCCAATATTTCAGTCAAATAATTTGCTATGTAGAGCCCAGAAGGTTTGATACTTGATTCATCCTTAAGTTCATTTAGATTAATCCCTTTTGCATATCCTAAATAGATATTTGAATGCAATTTTGTCTGGCATCGTTTTTAAAGGTAATACCAATAAATCCATCCTTTGTTAATTCAATACTATTCTCCATTATTATATCTGTAATCTATCTTTTACGTTCTTCATCTGGGAAGAAATCAGTGTTCAATTTTACTAGATTTTTAAACTAATATTTATATTGTTGAAACTCTTAGTTTATAATATCTTATAAATATATACCATTTTATCAAAATTAATTTATTATAATTTATTCGCAATTACTTTTATTCTAAACAACAATGTTTCATTTCAATATTTGATATTTTTGTTGTATTAGGAGAATCTTTTGTTGTTGAAATTTAACGAATCTCAGATAATAAATTTTAATGTCTTTAACATCTTTGTCTCACGAATTTCATCCTTGTTTTTCATCTAAAATTTAACTATCTCAGAAACATTATCCAAGAATTGATAAATCTTATTATTGCTAATCAAAATGAAATAAGAAATAGAAGTACTTCATTACTCAGTTTTAACAATTATAATCCTTTTAATACTCCTGATCTCCTTTTACTAGTTCATTTAACAGCTACTCTAGTTATCCTTAAGTTTATAATCTTGGCTAGTCAGCTTATTACTAATATCTTAATTGCTATAAGACTGGACCATTAATTAAAGAAAGTAACAATTCTCCTTTGTCATTTACTCCACAAGTAGATCCAAATTTAGCATATCTAGTCAACTTAACAGTCAATTCTTTGGTTGATACTTATTGCTTTCTATTGAGGACCTCAATGATCTCCATCTTTCTTAAATACTCTTTCGCTTCAAACATATCCTACTACCTAATAATTTTAAGCCTCAGATGATATATTTAATAATTCTTTTGTTTGATCAAAAATAACTACTAATCAATGCTGTTAATGGTCATTGTAGGTTCATCTAACTTGGTAGGTCAGAAACTCTATCTGCATAGTAAGTAAGTGTATAAGAATAGGGGAAATGCTGCAAATCTAACTTTATAAGTGTATAAAAATAAGACCAAGATTTTTTAGCAGATTATCAAGGCAGAATAAAGAAGTAAAATAAGTTCTCGCTTGTCCATCAATTATCCTTTCAACAACCAAAAGTCCCATAGCAATGAGAAGAAACATAAAAACATAAGTTGGTGCTTTCCCAAAAAGAAGTGGATTTTGGTCTTTTTTGTTACAACTTCAAATGCTTTAAGTAATAAATAAAGAACTATGCAGAGTCTTAAAATTTAGAGAATAACTTAAACAAAATTAGTCAAAATGAAATTACCTAAATTTCACATCAGTATAAAGCTTCTATAATATTTTATGTAGCATTTGACAATATGTTCACAATTACCAAGAGAAGGCCGACAGGTAATAGTAGAGCTAAAGATACTGTTTATCCAGAGGCTCCTTTATGAAGCAATAGTCAAGGTATTCCTAAGTTTAACATAATATAGCGCTGATTTTATAGTCCAGCATACATAATTTTATATTCCTTTATGAGAGCCTAAATAACATTTTGTGTATGCTGTTTTCAGATGGATTTATCAAAGCATCAGTTTTTTCCATTTTAATTATTTTATTATATTGCATGAGAAATGAATCAAACCCCTTTTGGAATTAAGACATTATGGTCAATTTTGGAGCAGACAACTTGTATTTGGACTAAACATTCATCATTAACGAAAACCCCATACCCATGTTGCCTAGAGCAATTAGGGAAGGACGTACACTCTGTTGGATTTAATGCATCTATTATCTCATCAAACTCTTCGTTACTCTATCCTATTATCAAGAAATAGCGGAACCTACTTTCAGTTTACTTATTTTAGTTATGGGCTTACACGATGTGATTAACATTCTTCACTATCTAATAATAGGGTATGTGCATCTCCATAATACTAGAATTTTGACCTAGTATATTAGTACTATTGACGTAGAGAACTTCAATAGGTAATTCAATTTACTCTCTCTTAACTCTTCCATAACCTAAATGATCATTCAAGAATTTTTAAGTTATTATCGTCCATTGAATGGACTTCTCATTATAGATATCATTGAAAAAAAATCCTTCTATTTTAATTGTATTTCCATTAAATTATTACACTACTTCATCTCCATATATACTCTAGTCACTATACTATTCATTTTCACCGAAATCCCGTTACTTGTTCAACTATATATTGTACTCTTAGTTATTTATTGGTTTATTCCTATTCTTATGTGCTTTGTTTGGCCATTTTTGATGCTTTGGTTTATTGTATTGAGACAAGAATTAAATTATTAATAAAATAGGAGCATGATAATTAGTTTCTATGATTAATTACAAAACATTAAATTTAGAATTCTAAAGGAAAAACGTCCTTCAATGTAATAAAATGATTGGTATTTATATATACTAATGTAGCCCCATTTGTTACTAGCAAATTAATGAATCCCACAGTGTTATTCAATTGCCTTGCCATCAAGAACACTACTTTCATGCAGAATGTTGCAGATAATGGTTAGGAAGAGATCCACGTTGTCCATTATGTAGACATGGATTAGAGTAACCAAAGGAGATGGTACCACTTGAGTTCATTTGAATATATTTACTAATTAATAATTTATTAAAATGTAGGATGCTTAAGACAAGTTAGAATTACATTCAAAACTCTTGAAATACCCTCCATTCTACACGTAAATTAACACTATAAAGTACTTAGCTTATAAGATCATAAAGAGACTAGAAAGAAGCAGATAACTTAATGGAGTGAGATTGTACATCTCTACTTTCAATCACATAAAATTTTGGAATCCTCTATTAGCGAAATTCTTAATTTTCCCATATTTTAAGATTCATCATCTGGAATAATTAAGAAATTAGATTCTTCAGAAATTAAAGAAATACTTAATTAAATGGCACAATTAGGATCTATAGAATGGAAAAATGATTAAAATTTCACTGTGAATTTAGTCAGTCCATTCGAGTTGGCTGATGCAATCTATGCTTGGGCTAAGGAGAAAAAATTGATTGGCTACACTGAGACATTAAGAGGAATTACTGAGGGAAGCCAGACTGATGAATCTAAAAGTAAAATTGGTTATCAATATATAGAATTTTATAATTTACCTTAAGAGTAGATTCTCAAGGCATGCTTAATTCTAGAAGAAACAGGAAGATGTTAGGTTTATGAATTTGATGGCTTGTATAGTATCAAATTTATATGATTATCTTATTTTATATGAAATTTTTACACAAACTCATATATAATCAAAGGAATAATTTATAATAATTCAAATCGTGCAATTATGACTTTTTATAATTTATTTATCCGTGTAACTTGATTATGATTAATCATTTTATATAAAGTAGTTGGTCATTCAATCAACCAGAACTGATATAATATCTATACATATAGTGCGTCTCTAGAATTAATTATAAATTTATCAATTATGAGTAAATTTATATTTATTAATTCAATTAGAGAATACTATTTCTATCAAAACTACTATTAGATTTTTATCTTAATTCCCTAAGATTAAATGTAAGAATTTACTTTCTTGAATTCTTAAAGATTCTTGATATTAATGTATTTAAATATAATTACTTAAGAGGAAAAATCATTTTTATTATATGATTCATAGACACCTTGTAAAATTTAATACAGGTTTTGTTTAGTTAGCTATTTTTAATAAATCTGGATCCTTTTTAAATTAAATAATAATTGCTCTTATAACAGTTACACAATTAATTCCAAATTCATTGCGGTACATTTAGGGTATTTTGAAAGAATTCTTGCATCATGTAATAAAACTTGAAGCATTTCTATTTTTGTATTAAGAATTACAAGAATTTGTACAAAAATTAATTATAAGTTGATTATTAATAATTTTTACTATTCCTCTATTGAATTAATATCTCTAAAAGAAACAAAATAATGACATTTATGAAAGCTGATCAAAATAAAATTTTTACTACATGATAAGAAATAAAAATGAGAAAAAAAAATGATCCTTACATATTGTTAGTGCTTCAACTCTAGCATCATTGATTATATATAAAACAAGCAACTCGAATAACGAAAGATATTGACTTGGTGTTAAAATACTTTAATATAATTTTGATAAGAATCAACTTGAGGTCTCTTGATGTATATTTTGGAGATGGTTCAAATTTTATCATTTTTATACTCATTATATATATTTAACTTCATTTGTTCTTGTTATTGAAAGACTAACCAAAAAATGAGCAATCTAAAAACTAAAAGATTTATTATAAATAAAATAAATTAAATATTCATGTTTATTATATTTTATAATTTTCTGTATTTTAATTGGTTTATTAAGGTATCTTTGGATATTAATTGGAAGTCTCAAAATGGCAAGAAAATTATTGTTATCTTTAAGTCAATAATAGACAGGAAATATTTAGAAAAATGAATATTTTCTAGAAGAAAATTCAATTCAATTTAATTTAAAAATCAGATTAGTTTTTTTCATCCTTACATTCATCAAAATGTTTTTTCAATTTAAAGTAAACTTTTTTCTTGGTTTCTTGGTTTCTTGCTTAATGCTCGAATTCAACCTTCATGTCAGTTATTATATTTTGCACACTAATTGAATAATTAAATTATCAACCACATTTTAAATATCTTCATAATTAACAAACATCAGTATAGATAAGTATAAAATCAATTATAATTAATATTGTCATTCCCTCTCGCAAAGAATTTTCGTGTCACTTAAATTAACAATGCATTTTGATAATTTTTCTTTTTTAATATTATGCTCCATCTTTGTTCAATAATGTCGAAACTTGTGAAAAATATGATATTTCAATCTGCAAAATTATTGTTGAAAATTGTCTTATTTCTTAACATTAGTCCACATGCTCAATTTTTCATATGCAACTTTCATTTTTATGTTTTTAAATTCATTTCTTTGTTTTGGATGCTAATTTCTCAAATTTAGAAAAAATTGGATGATTTGATAATGAGCAAGCAGATAAGATCAGGAATCAAATGAGTTTCAATAAATTAATCGTATTCTAGATGCTTATGATATGAAAAAAAAAAATGTTGTATTCATAAACTAAACTGTGTTTTATACTTAGTCTCATTATATTTTTATTCGGATTTATCATAAGATTGATATCTTCTCCCTTCTCCTAAAACGATATGAAAAACAAATATTATTTTAATTTATTATCATAATTCATCTGAAAATTTAAAAGTGATGAAAAAATATAAATATAATATGACACTATTCTAAAATTACAAAAAATTAAATTTTACCTCTACTATTTAATCTGTTTAAAGAACCAACTAAATGTTAATACTTTTAATGAATAAATTCATCATACTCTCATTGTTTCTTGCTTTAGTAGCAAGTCAAACATACAGTATAACATCATGCACATGTGCATAACTGTTATCTGAAGGAGATTGCATCAAAAATGCTTCCCTTGGATGTGCATGGGATGCTACAAAGAAAGCATGCGCAGTTTCAACAACTCCTGTCACTCCAACAGTGACTTATGCTGCATATTGCGATACATTTGCTGAAACAGATTGTCCAAAAGCTAAGCCATGTACTGATTGTGGAAGCTATGCCGCTTGCGCTTGGACTGATAGCAAATGTACATACTTCACTGGATGTACAGCATTTGCTAAAACACTTGATTCTGAATGTTAAGCAATAAGTAATAGATGTATTACCGATGGAACTCATTGTGTTGAAATTGATGCTTGTAGTACTTATAAAAAACAACTCCCATGTGTGAAAAATACTGCAGGAAGCTTGTGCTATTGGGATACAACAAATAATACATGTGTTGATGCTAATACTTGTGATAAATTACCAGCAACATTTGCAACAGATAAAGAGTGCAGAGATGTGATTTCAACATGCACAACAAAAACAGGAGGTGGATGTGTTGATAGTGGAAATAACTGCAGTGATTAAACATTAGAAATTTAATGTGTTTGGAATAAATTAAAAACAACAGCTTGTTATTGGGATGGAGCCGCTTGCAAAGATAGAATTTGTGACAATGCACCAACAAGTTTGACTACTGATGATGCCTGTAAAACATTTAGAACTGATGGAACATGCACAACTAAAGCCAATGGAGGATGTGTAACTAGAACTACTTGTGCTGCTGCAGCTATTTAAGCCTCATGTATTAAGAATAGTTCAGGTGGTGACTGTTATTGGACAGGAACTGCTTGTGTAGATAAGACATGTGCAAATGCACCAGTTACAATGACAACTAATTCAGCTTGTGCAGGATTTGTTACAGGATGTATCACTAAATCAGGAGGAGGATGCGTTGCCAATGGCGCATGTTCCGTTGCTAATGTTTAAGCAGCCTGTGTTAAGAACTCCAGCAATTTTGATTGCATTTGGGATACAACTTGTAAAGAGAAGACATGCGCCAATGCCCCAACAACCAATAACACTCATGATTTATGTACTTCTTATTTATCTACTTGTACTGTTAAATCAGGAGGTGGATGTTAAAATAGAACATGTGCTAATGCTCCAACAACATTGACAACAAATGATGCATGTGAAGCTTATTTAACAGGAAATAATTGTATAACAAAAACAGGAGGTGGATGTGTTACAAATACTACTTGTGCTGCTATAACATTAGAAGCTGCTTGTGTTAAGAATTCTACTGGATCAACTTGTTTCTGGGATACTGCAAGTTCAAGTTGTAAAGATAAAATTTGTGTGAATGCTCCAGCAACTAACACTACTCATGATCTATGTTAAGCTTTCTTAAATACATGTACAGTAAATTCAACTAGTGCTGGATGCGTAGAAAAAACATGTGAAAATTCTTTAGTTTTGGCTATTTGTGATAAAGATACAAGTAATAGAGCATGCATTTGGAAAGGAAAATGCTATAAGAAATAATGTGTTTTGGCTTCATCTGCTACTACTACTCATGCTGATTGTTAAACCTATCACTCATCTTGTACTTTGAGTAATTAAGGAACAGGATGTGTTCCACTTCCACTTAAATGTGAAGCTATAACTCTTGAAGCTGCTTGTAATATGAAAGCTAATGGTTAACCATGTGGATGGAATGGATCTTAATGTATTGATAAAGCTTGCTCAACTGCCTCGAAGACATTCGCAACTACTACATAATGCTAAGGACACATATCAACTTGTGTTGCTAATAATCCAGCAACTGTTAATGGCTCATTGACAATTTAAGGATGTTAAGATTTACCAACTACATGTGCTGCTAGAAAATCAACTGAAAATTGTGAAATTTCAAGAGCTTAATTCCCAACATGTCTTTGGGTTGCATCTTCTACTTCATGTGTTGAAAAGTCATGTGCAACTGCTAGTACTGCAGGAACAACTGGAGCATTATCAGCAGGAGGATTTACTTTTTCTGCTTGTTAAGCTTATCTCAATACTTGTATTTCCAACAATACAGCAGATGGATGCATGGTTAAGCCATCAAGTTGTTCATCATTAGTGTCATCAAATTGTTAACTTGGTTCTAAAGCAAGTGGAGATTGCTATTGGAATGGAAGTAGTTGTGTTGATAGAACTTGTGCAAATATTACTCAAACTACACATAACAGTTGTTAAAGTACATTTAATTAATGCACAGTCAATAATGGAGGAACTGCTTGTTAACCCCTAGCAACTGCCTGCACGTCTTATTCAACCTAAGAAAATTGTAAATTTACATCCACAAACAAGAATTGTGTTTGGACTGGATTAGCTTGTAGAAATGCGACTTGTGCTGATGCCCCAGATACTGCCTCATATGATACTGATACCGAATGTTTGGCTTACCCAACACCAAGTGAAACTTGCACAGTTGTCTACAAAGTTGGAGCTTAAGGATGCGTACCAAAATCAGCAAATTGTTCAGATTATATGACATAGGCCTAATGCCACAAAACCATCACAAATTTAACAGCTAATGATGATTGTAAGTGGGTCGTTGATAGATGCTATGCAATATCCTCTTTTGCTACTGGAGCTTGTACAACATTTAAGGGTACTTAAACAATGTGTTAAGGATATAGAGCAGGATGTACAAATACTGGTGGTGCAACATCCTCAACTGCTTGCACTTTAGATTGTACTTTAAAAACAGGAACAGGTTTGACATTTGCAGATTGCTAAGCATTAGATTCTACATGTTCTGTAAAAAAGGATGGTACTGGTTGTATTGTTATCTAATCAGCTTGTACTGGATATGGAACAACAGCAGCTAATTGTTTCAGGTCAAGCGCAAGTGGAAATGCAGGATATTGCGCATTAAATGGTTCTTCTACTTGTGTGACAGTGAGTGCAGCTGCTGATTGTGCATTTGTTACTGGATTAACAGGTTTGGATCACACTAAGTGTTAACTATATCACACTTCTTGCACAGCCTTAAAAGATGGCACTGGATGTTAGGAATATAAGACAACTTGTTCTGGCTATGCAGCAACAAACAATTGTGCTACTTCTGGATAGGGTAAATGCTACTTTGATGGTACAGATTGCCTACGTTTTACTAATTGTGCTTCAGTTACTGGAACAGGATTAACAACTACTATTTGTGCAACTTATGATGCAGGTTGTATAGCAAATGTAGATGGAACAGCTTGTTAGGAAAAGTTAGCAACTTGCGATCTATATTTAACTCAGAAGTCTTGTTCTACTTCAGCAGCTGCAGCAACAGCAGATAAATGCGCTTGGAGCGGAACTGCTTGTCTTGCAATAGTAACAGCAAATATTGCTACTCACTGTGCTTATGTTACTGGAACTGGACTAACAGATGCAATATGTGCTGCTTATAATGTAGATTGTACAGCTAATAGAGCTGGAACAGCATGTCAAGAATAAAAGGCTACTTGTGACTTATACACAACAGAAGCTACATGTTCTACTTCAGCAGCTGCAGCAACAGCAGATAAATGCGCATGGAGTGGTACAGCATGCCTAGCAGTCACAACTGTTGCTACACATTGTGCATATGTTAAAGGAACTGGATTGACAGATACTACATGTGCTGCTTATAATGCAGATTGTACAGCTAATCGAGCTGGAACTGAATGTCAAGAATAAAAGGCTACTTGTGATTTATACACAACAGAAGCTACATGCTCAACATCAAAAGCTGCAGCAACAGCAGATAAATGCGCATGGAGTGGTACAGCATGCCTAGCAATAGAAACAGCAAATATTGCTACTCACTGTGCATATGTTAAAGGAACTGGATTGACAGATGCTACATGTGCTGCTTATAATGTAGATTGTACAGCTAATCGAGCTGGAACTGAATGTCAAGAATAAAAGGCTACTTGTGACTTATACACAACAGAAGCTACATGTTCTACTTCAGCAGCTGCAGCAACAGCAGATAAATGCGCATGGAGTGGTACAGCATGCCTAGCAGTCACAACTGTTGCTACACATTGTGCATATGTTAAAGGAACTGGATTGACAGATACTACATGTGCTGCTTATAATGCAGATTGTACAGCTAATCGAGCTGGAACTGAATGTCAAGAATAAAAGGCTACTTGTGACTTATACACAACAGAAGCTACATGCTCAACATCAAAAGCTGCAGCAACAGCAGATAAATGCGCATGGAGTGGTACAGCATGCCTAGCAGTCACAACTGTTGCTACACATTGTGCATATGTTACTGGAACTGGATTGGTAGCTGCAACATGTGCTGCATATAATGTAGGTTGTATTAATTTAAAAGATGGTACCGGCTGTTAGGAAGCCAAAGCTGGTTGCAAAGATTACTCCACATAAAACAAATGCTCTGCATAATCAACTGGTTCCCTTTCATGTATTTGGGTTGATAGCTCTTGTTATACACTTGGTGAAAAAAATTGTAGTTCTATAACAGGAACTGGACTTGATCATGCTCAATGTTAATCTTACAGCGCAGGTTGTACATCTATTACTGATGGAACAAAATGTTAAGACTTAAAATCATCTTGCGAATAATATGCAGGTACAACCGCAAGTTGCACAAAAACTGCTACCTCAAAATGTTATTTATAGGGCTCTACTTGCATCACAATTTCAAATGTTGCCACTGATTGTGCTAAAATAACAGGAGGTGCTGGAACTGTAACATATGACATTTGCTAATCTTATAATACAGGATGCAGTGCAAATAGAGCAAGAAGTGCTTGTGTCTAACAATAAGCTCAGTGTTCAGGATACACTGTTCTTACTAGTTGTTATAAATCAGGGGCTGGTTTGTGTATTGCAAGTACAAATACCGACACTGCTTGTGTTGCAGCATCATCTGCAACAACTTGCGATGCTGTTTATTTAGGTACAGGAAATTACAGCAATGCAAATTGTGTTGAAATGAAAGCTGGATGTACAAATAATGGAACTACTGCATGCGTAGCAAAATCTTGTGCAAATGCTGCCGGAATCACATTTAATCATGCCAATTGTAATTCATATCTCAATACCTGTACTGTAAATTCTGGAGGTACTGCATGCTAAACTATGATACCTAAATGTGCTGATTAAACTTCAACTGCTTGTCTTTACTCTGTTGAAGGGGAATGTGTAGTAATAGGAACATCATGCGTACGAAAGACTTGTGATACTGCAGCAATTGATGCTACTCGGGATGATGACTCTGAATGTTCAACTTACTAATAATCATGTACTGTTGCTAGATTAGGAGCTTGCCAAGCCAGAGCTGCTTGTGGTACTTACAAGTCATCGCTCTAATGTAAGTTCAATACCAGTGGTGGAAAATGCTTTTGGAATCCAACAAATAAGACATGTGTTGATTTGAATTGTGGTAATATTGAAACCTCAACCTCATTCGATACTCATAATGAATGTGTTGCTGTTGATTCAACACTTGCTTGCACAGTCAGAGCTACAAATGGTGCAGCTGTTTAAGGTTGTATGGCCAGAGGAGCGTGCGCTTCATATACCATTGAAGAACAATGTAAAACAAATGCAAGTAATGGTATTTGCGTTTGGAATACAAATGCTAATTTACCTGCACCTGCTTGCCAAGATAAATCTTGTACTAGTGCTCCAACTTCCACTACAACCCATAATGATTGCTATGCCTACTATAATACAGCAACAGTAAAATGTACTGTTGTTGCTACTCCAAGCAATAGTGGTGGTAATCCAACTTTAGGAGGATGTTAATAGACAGCTGCTTGTTCAAGTTATATTGATAAGGAATAGTGCTAAATAAATGCCAATGGAGATCCATGTGGATGGAACGGTACTTAATGCGCTGACAAAGCATGCTCTACTGCTCCTGCAACAACAGATTATGATGATGATACCAAATGTAGAGCCTACCTATCTAATAAATGCACAGTCTCAGATATTGGATTAGGTTGTGTAGAGATTCCCGCAACTTGCGAAACAATGACATAGAAGCAATGTTATTCTAATAAAGCTGGAGATCCATGCTATTGGACAGGAACAACTTGTATTACAAAATCATGTGACAATGCTCCAGACGCAACAGCTACAGCAGATGAATGCAATACTTATTTGGCTGGATGTACTTTAGATAATGTTAAATGCAAGACAAAAGTTTGCGAAGATTTTGCCTTCGCCACAGATGCTTTATGTAAACAAGCTATTTCTACATGCACAACAAATGGAACAAATTGTGTTACAAGAGGAACATGCTTCTAAGCCTTAAGTCAAGCTGGATGCGTTTCATCCACAACAGGTTAATAATGTGAATGGATACCAGCTGTTTTGAATGCATCAAATGTAGTAACTACTCCTGCTTATTGTACCATTAAAAATTGTAGTACTGCTCCAATCACTTTAACAAGTGAAGCTGCCTGCGCTGGATACTTTACAAATTGTACAACTAAAAATGGCGGAGGATGTGTTACTAAATCAACTTGCGCAGCAGTCACTATTGATGTTGCTTGTACAACTGCTTTGAATGGTACTATATGTGCTTGGGACAGTGCATAAAATAAATGCAGAGATAAAGATTGCTAAGATTTCAGTGGAACTACTCATGCTGCATGTTAAGCCTAAAGAGCTGGATGCACAGCTGGAGCTAGTGGAAAATGCGCTAGGGTATAAAATTGTGAACAAACCTAAGTAAGATCAGCTTGCATTGAAGGAACAAATGGACCATGTTTATGGATTGATAAATATGTTAACACTGATGGAAGTAAAGGAGCTTGTTTCAGATACACATCATGCAAAAGTTTAGCTTGGAATAGCGATACTTCATGCAAGTGGATAAGTAATAAATGCACAACTAATGGCTCAAATTGTGTTGGAATTACTTTGTGCTCAGAAACTAACACTGATGGAGGTTGTGTCACTGGATATGATGGAGCTTGTATTCAATCAGTTCCAGCTTTGAACTCTTCAGATCCAAAAGTTTGCAAACCATATATATCTTGTGCTGATGCTTTCTACACAACTCATTCAGATTGTTAAATTGCTAGCAGTAAATGTACAACAAATGGAACAACAGGATGTATTGCTTTAGGATCTTGTTCATCATATACTGCATAGGCTGGATGTTACTTCAATGATAAGGGAGCTCAATATTCATCTGGAGCTATTGTATCAACTGGAGTTTGTACTTGGGATACCATATCAAGTAGTTGCAGAGATTAATCATGTGCTGACTTAACTGGTACAACCCATGCAACATGTTCATCATAATTATCAACCTGCACATCAGATGGAACTACATGTTTACTCAAAGGAGTCTGTACATCATACACCACTTAAATTGCTTGCACAACAGCTGTTGGATCTGATGGATCATGTTATTGGGAATTAGCATCTGCTACAAATAACAATACTGCCAAATGTAGATTACTTACTTGTGCTGATATTCAAAATGGAACAGCAACCAACGTTTGCTCTGTAGCCTTGTCAACTTGTGTTTCAAATGGAACTGCTTGCATTCCAAAAGCCAATTGCTCAACCTACACATCTAAGACAGCCTGCAACTCAGGAGGTTTAGATGGTATTTGTGTATTCACTTAATCAACTGCAACTGGAGCTGCTGCTGGTACTGGAACTTGTGCATTAATGACAGCATGTACAATTGCAAATAATGATTAAACAGCTTGCTAGGCTGCCAGAGATAGATGCGCTTGGACTGCTGCTTCAGGAACTGGAACTACTGCAGTTGCTAGTAAATGTGCCACTCATACTTGTGCTACAAATTAAGCTACCAATGGAGCTTGCACAAGATTCTTGAATTGGGATAAAAAAACCTAATAAATTTGTACCCTAGTAAGTGGAGCATGCACAGCAACAGATCCATCAACATTGTCAACTAACGATTGCTTCTTGGTTTCTGGATATACATATACTTGGAATGCTTCAACAAGCAAATGTGGAGTTTGCACAGCAGTTGTAGTCTAACCAAATAATTCAAACAATGATACTAACAATACAGACAACAATACAACAACAGACTCAGGATACATACTTGGTTTATCTGTCGTCTTAGGATATCTCATGTTCTGAGGAGAATGATTTTTAAAATATATATAGGGAAAAATATAATAAATATACAAAATAAATCATCTTTCTAATTCATTTTACTTATCTTAGAATATTTATTTATTGTGATATATACACAAATACTACTATCTTAAGTATTGAAAATTACAACAAGTTTTGTGTAGAGAATAAGCATCAAAATTTGTGAGTTAATTATACCTCGTGAATTTGAGTTTGATGAATAACTATGGAAAATGATAGTAGTGTAAATAAACTATTGAATAATCATTAAAATTTCATTCTTTATAGACTACTTACATGTTGATAAGTAAATGCATTTTTTAGAAAATAGACCACTAAATTTAAATTCAGATATCGACCAAAAGAATGATGAACAATAGCAACTCCTTCTTGTAAAATTAATGTAATCAGAAATTTTTTCTTCAATTATTGACTGTTAAGATATTCAATTTGGCTTGTTATTTGTAAGCTAATTAATAACTTATCTTTCAACCATTAAAAATAATAAAAATGATATAAATGATGTGATTTATTAGATATAAAAAATAAAATAAAGTATCAAATTGATGAATATCCTACTGATGATAACTTTTAGCACGAAGATTTTGCATAAAATAAAAAATTATATGGATAAATAGAGATGAAAAATTTATTCTATCAATCAAATGATTATTTAAAAGATATTAATATGGTAATTATATTATTTTTATGTAGAAGTATTGTTTGAATCCATATTCATCAAGATTGTTTTGAGACGCTGAGATGAAAAATATTGATATCGGCAAAATGAAACAGTAACTATATAGCACTATAAGAATGATTGATTTCATTAGTAAAATAGCTCCTTATTTGAATATATATTGCAAAGAATATACCAAAAACCCTCAATTTCTTAAGGCTATATTAACAAAATTTTCAAATTGAAAATAAACTTTAGCAGCTAAAGATCCCATTTACCTCAATAGACTTTCAAATATACAACAAACTCTAGCACCGCTACTCCTAATTCCTATTTAAAAAAATGTTTAAGTGGAGTTTTAGTTAGCAAACTAAAAATTAGGACGGCTTCCTGGTAGTGAAACTTCTATGAAGAATAAGTTGTTATTTAGAACCTAGGGTGGTTGATCAGTTCCACTGATCTTAAAATATTAGAAAAAAAAGATGAAAAATTATAATGATTGTGAAAGAAATTAAAAAATACTGATAAATTAAATTCATAAAGTGCATGAATTTTTTTGAATAAAAGATAAATTAAAAATTTAGAAATATCTTTTATTTTAAGAATGTTGAATCATTCCCTATATAAGGTAAGATTTATCATAACTACCAGAGAGAACCAAACTGATCGGAAATATTCGATATGACCATCTCGTTTGTCTTTATTATCCTATTTTAAGATCCCATATACAGATAGATTTGTCATAGCTACCAGATGCCAATGTAGAACCATCAGGAGGAAAGCAGACTGAATTGACATATGATCATCTAATTTGGCTTTTTATTATGTTGCCTTAGCTTCCAAAAACAAATTGAGCTATCCTAGCTCCCGAATGTAGATGTGGTGCCATCAGGAGAGAACAAAACTGAAAATTTCACTAATAAAGACCAATTAATTTGAATTTTTATATTCCTATCTTAACATCCCATAAAAGAATCGAATTATCTCTATTGCCAGATGCTAATGTGGCACCAGGAGAAAAGCATATTGAATTTATACAACTATTATGACTAACTAATTTTGCTTATTTTTTCTCGGTTTTAATATTCCATTAATTTATATAAATTAATAACTATTAGATGTATTTAATGTGTTTTAATTCTTAATATTTTAAGAATTTTTATTTGTCAAATCAACCTCCATTTCAACCAATAAGTTGAAAGAATTGGATCCAAATTAGATAAATCTCTTATATAAAGATGTTAGACATATTAAGAGTTTGTTAGACATATAAAGAGTTTTAATGATCAGATAATCTGATTTTCTTTTGATATATTTTTAATTAAAAGTACTCTATTTTCTACACAGAAGAATAATTCTTTCTACTAAAGTCATGATTAATAATTATTTTGAAAATAATGGTTATTAGTATTTATTTGAGCCTCTTTGGTTTTCATTCATAGATTGAAATCGAAATTGTTCTCCATTTTGAAAATTCAAAGCACTGAAAATTTATTCATCAAATCCTCTTTATAGAACAACAACCTCATACAACTCTTCTTGCCACTCATTGTCGCGAAGCATATTTTTTATAAATAATATCAAAGTTTATAATTCTTGTTTGCGAATCTTCTACAAAAATCAGATGATATATTTATTAGAATAAAAAAACAGAATGTTATAAGACTTGAAATTTATTGTAATTGAGATAAAATTGGATTATAAAAAATCATACCTTCCTTTTGGCATAGCTTTATTCTTAAGATTACAATAAAGATTATTTTTTAATCTACCCTCTTGATATCAAAATTTTAAGGAAATCTTATACATTTATTATGGCACTTAGAGGAGTTTGTATTAGATTTACATTTACCATAATAATTTTCAACTTATAATTTCATAATTAACATCCTAAATTATTTCAGGTTCAAAGTTATCAGGATTTTTTTTACTTTCCAAAATTCTTTATCACTTTGTGTTCTAATCTTCAAATTTTCTCAACAAAGTATCTTCACATATTTCATTCACAACTTCAAATATCAACCGATTGTATGCAAGCTTACATTATCAAAAATATTTTCTTTTCTATTTAAAAATGTAAATCTATTTAAGGATAGAATATAGTTCATTGTTTCATAACATTGATATGAATATTTTTACAATAATATTTTATCAATTCATTGATGCTCAAGTAAATTATAAATTAGATTAGAATACGCACTAGAAAAGTCAAAATTTATTGAAACTTAATCGTTAAATCATTTGTGAAAATAGTATTTCAACTCATTGATTATATAAAATAAATTTAATACATATATATAAAAATCTATTATATCAACATATCAATTCAGAGAAATACTAAAAATTGTATTTAATTATATGAAATATATTAGTCAATTCAATAATAGTATTTTATTTACTTATTGTATAAATAATACTGATGAAAAGAAGAATAACGAAAAAACAATATTTTCATACTATTTCAAGAGAAAATGATGATCAAAATTTGATTTCAATATACATTTATAAAAATAATTTATGAAAAGAAATAAATTCTTTTCACCAAAACAATAGTTATTTTCTATTTTTTATGTATGGTTCTAAAATTACAGTATTTTTACACAGACAACCTTTCATTTGGAGTCAATTGAATCTATTTTAGTTATGAGAATGTTATTTCTTTTCACATTTTATCTGAATAAATAAATATTGAAAATTAAAATTTTTTGATTTCATTTTTTCTTGAAATAGTCTGAAAATATTTTATTTTCATTATTTTTCTTTTCATCAGAATAATATTATTTATATTTTGGCAACTGAGATTAGCTTATATCATTTTCATCAATTCAAATTAAGGTGAATGAAAGATTTCTATATAACCCTAATATTGATGTAATAAAATTTTCGTTAATTCTATTGGAGCTTATGAGTTACAATATACACTCCTCGTACAAATTAAATTTAGTTTATGATGAAAATATGATTTCCAACATACAATCGTAGATAGATTTGTATTACATTTAAGGATTCTACTTAATACTTTAATATTTAACTTTAATTATCATTCTATTTATCTTTTTAATACCTTTTTTTTACACTAAATTAACTATAATTGTATTACTCAACTTTATGGCCACTCATGACTAAACATTTCAAACTCTAGACGCTCTTCTTTTGATTCTACATATCTTTTTTATTATTAAGAGTTATTTCCATAAGTGCTTATCTATACTAATATTTTTTTCAGACATCTGAGTATATGAATTACAATTCACAAATTATAGCAAAACTTTATCATATGAAATTTCTGCTATACGAAGCATCAACCGTCTTTTATTCAATTATTACAACTTGATTATATTTATATTTTTCATAACAGTCCTAACGGTTTATTAAACTGATGAAATTATTATTATTATTTTAACACAAATAATTAGGGTTTGGGGTTGGGTTTTGGGTTTGGGTTTTGGGTCTGGGTTTTGGGTTTGGGTTTGGGTTCGGGTTTTGGGTTTGGGTTTTGCGTTTGAAATAGGGTTGGGGGCTGGGGTTGGGTTCGGGTTTGGGGTTGGAATTGGGG